TAACATGTTTATGCCAAGTCTGTCCGTATCTACTGTAGATACTCATTACAGTGCAATGCAGAAAGCTTGTGGCCATACTGAATTATTATTTGCAGTGCCCAGGTATAAAGCAATGTGCAGAAATACTGACTGCATGCAGGTTTACACTTCACAGTTGAAGAATTAGTTGAAGACCTTCAGGAAGTTACATTTATATCTAAACTGTCCACTGAAAGCGACCCTGTCCGTAAGTACAGAAAATTAAACTAAGCCCAGCCTGTAATAAATTATGTATACTTACTTACCTATTCAGCGGCCCATGTCTTTTTGACATTTCCGGGTCTATCAAATACCTGCTCCCCAGCTGTGCACTATAGTTCTTTCCTTTACATCCTGTAACAAATCATGATTCTCCGCGCGGTGGGCTTGATTTGATTAGTTGCACTTACTGTCATGGTTGCTTTAACGCAATCTAAGTGCAAATGCAAATGGAAAAAAACCCTCTCTGTGTGAAATGAACAAATCAAGAAAAAAAATTAAAAACATACTTTTCTATAATTAATTAATTATTTTATTTTTTTCAAATATTGTAATTATATCTGACAAGTACAGATAAACACCCTTTACACCATACTTAAGGCTACAGTGGCAACTGCAGCCTTAAACCGTCAGCCTGCATGTGATCATTCTGCCATAGCTGACATAGTGATCACATGATCAGGAACCACTAAGATTGATGTCCAATTGTTAGTGGGTACCAGAGCTGTCAGTGACAGCCAGGATTTAGTGCCACCATTGGCTCTCAAAGGGAACATTTTTAACAGATCCCTAGCACGAGGCATCATGCTGGGGAAGATTAATATACAGATTGGGGCGGGAAAGGATTAAATAAAAAGCGCCAAACTAGTTTCTATTCTAAATTGGCAGCGCAGTTGGTACTTGTCACAGCTGAGGCTCCCATACCATGCAACAGAATGTCATTCCAGCTCTGAAACTGGTCATCGGTTGTGCCAAATAGCAGATACTCTCATATGTTTTCTTTAGAACGTATAAGCCATCCTTGCATTGTCTCCATCTGTTCCACAACACTATTCTTCATACGTAACAGATTCACTTTAAGATTGCAACAAAAGCAGCTCACAAGGGAGTCTAATAAACTTTTTTTTGGCAACCAAGCCATGGAGGGTCCATGTAGAAACTATCACTTGCTGTGTGCAACTTATTTTCCGAGTTGACAGCCTTGTTTATTGTCTTCAGTGAAAACAGATTGAAATCAATTTCTCTTGAGAAGAATAACCTTGAGGTGAGCGAATGGAGTTTTGATTATTGAAATCACCAGTTACTTACTGTGTTTCGTTATTTTCCTGCACTGTTTAGAGAAGTCTCTCCTTACGTGCCTATGATATATTTCATTAACCCCGACGTCTGCTCTCATGGTCCTCTGATAATTCAGGTAGAAAAGTCTTTTCTTCCATCGCCTCCCTCCCGGTGGCTCTGATCACGCTTGTCTCATGAACAGCACTGTCACTTTGAAATGACAGAATTGGCTCCCAGTTATACAGATATAACATATCACAGTAGGTTAGCGTGATATCCTCTTTCATGACCAGATCCTCAGACTGTGACATGCCGGGTCCCCATCCTTGTCTCCCTGTCCTGCCTGTTTTTAATATCTTATCTGACTGGACCACGCAGTTCCTTATTAGGATTATAGTCGGCAGCAGCTGGTGCCAGCCAATGCTTCCGCAACATGGAAAGCCGAAGCTTTTTTTTCAAAGTTAACTCAATGGTCCTTTTAATAAAAGAACAAAAATAAATAATTGTGCAGGACTCATTCATGCCCAGTATGTTGCCAAGCAACATACTGTTGAGATATTGTCACCTTGCATATGCTTGATGACAATGTCTGTGCAAAGTCGCCTCCCAACCCAATATTACCTTGCCAGTGCTCTCCTGCTGCTTTTACTGCTGCCTTAGCCAGCAAAACTCCCCCTCTGCTATGGTATGGTATCTTTTAAAACATTAAACATGTATTTCATAATTTGACGGAAGCATAATTAATGAGTATTAGAGTTCCAGGTTCCTCAAGCAATCTACTGACAAGCCAACATACACAACAACAAAGCATTCTGGGGAATTATTTTAAAATGCTGGCAATATTATACACCGGCTTGGACAGTCTTTTATGATAGGCATAAGGAGTGTGTGGGGAGGTGTATAGAGAGGCACTGAGTCCAGGCACCTTTTATGGTAGGCACAAAGTTATGATGCCATACTCTTTACGATCAAATGTGGGATGGACAATGTCACCAAAGATTTTCATTCCTATGCAGCCAAGTATTTTTCACTGCTTGGCCATGATAACTTATTACTTGAATGAGTTCATCTCTAGATTAAATCTGTCACAAATCTGGGCAATTCAAGCCGAGCATATGTTGAAAAAAATGCATATGCTGAGTTTCCCTTTTCGTAAACAGCACAAAAGCATCAAAATGATCAGGATATCCAATCTTTTAGGCAGCTGAAATTATATGAAAATTGTGAGCGTTTTCTATAAAATTCTAACTTCTGGACATGCCTATAAGCCTGTTAATGTGATAGGAAATCTTGTTGGCTAATAAATAGGCTTAGAGGAGCAGGTCCATCTCTAACAGGTAAAGTCTAGATTTGTGTATCAGTTAAGCTGCCTCTATCGCTTATGCAATGTTTTCCATCATTCACTCAGATTTCAAGTGGAATTCCAGAAACCACTAAATAAAAGGATGTAATACATATACATTTGCAGTTTTGATTGCCAAGAATTACATTTTTCGAAGGGGGAAGAAAAACAAGGGAGTGCCACACTGGTTTCTGGGAACCCAGGTTAAACGCCTATTTCTTTAAACTAATGCATTTCAGGGACTCAGGAGGTCCCCTTCTTCAGGGCTTTAGTGAATGAAGTAGGAGTATAATTGCCACAGAACACCAAATACAAAGTAAATAATCTTGTTAAACGCAGGTTGTCATCTACCTATTCTTTCAGACGAAGGGGGCATCCAGAGCCCCTGAAATGTGTTGGCTTGTATTATATAAGGACATTGACATTTAACTTAGACTCTCAAAACCTATGTGGCGCTTTGTTGCTCTTCTGTCCCTCTTTGGATTCTGTTTGATTGGTCCCCTGTGGCCCTTTCACGCATTGGACCTACCTTACCATAGAGAATAGACTCTTATTCATAGATGTAACACTCCATTAGGATATTAAAATATTTTTATTCGGATTCAGCGGCTCCACACACTGAAGGGGATTAGTCATTTTGGCTAGCCATTGTTGTAATTCACACACCTCTGGGTTTCAGGAGGATCACTACTTCCTGGTTCATCATTTACTGATTCCTGGGTCAACTTACCATATTTTCCAGCTTTGAAAGCTGGACACAGTTTAGTACAAAGTGTATAGGCAAAGGACACACTTTTAATTGATTTGCTGATGATGATGACGAGCTGTAAAGGTTTGAAAGGGTCTCCTATTGATAGTTTAGGATATCGTAGATTTTTGCCATTTCGCAGGAACAGTTTTGAGGATTGACATTTTATTTATTTATTAACTTGAGACAGTCTCATCTTTTTGTATTGCCTTTAGCACACATATACTGTAACATAAAAAAAATCTTTAATTTTTATTTTTACAACATTGTAAGGAATGCAATACATTATAGATTGAATGAAAAGGTAGTTGTAGTAGAAAAGTTTTGTTATTCATATAGTAAATTTTTTTCACAATCTGTGCATCAGACCAAAAAGATGGACAACTGAGGAGGCAAGAGGGACAGAGGAATTTGGTTCCAAAAGTAATAATGTTATCTTCATCATTGCACTGTGAGTACAGTCCACCTTGGTGACAGGCTCATGAGACCCTGCAGTCACAGTAAGTGTGTTAAATTAAGCTAGACATCATTCAACAGGGAGAGACCCTTCAATGGATCGATAGAGCGTTGACTCTGCAGGTGATAGTGCAGGAGGGAAGTAAGTATTATTATTTATGCAATGGATGGGGTATCTTTTTATTTATAAAAAAGCTCTTTAGGGCTGTCAAACAGAGGGCACTTTTGGCCTTATTTGAGTGCCTAATCATGACCCAATACTGGTCAAATATATACTATGAAATCCATATTGCAATGGGCTCCACACTCTAGAAAGACTCCTTTTTAACCCTACTCAACATAAAAAAACAGTGGGGCATTTCTGCAGGGACTTCTTAACACTATGGAGTGGACTTTTGGAGTTTCCCCCTAGCTTACTGAATGAGGTGAAGCTCAGCACACTTCCATCATCTAATCACGAGCAAACAAAACAATTTTTTTTACATTTTTCTTGCATGTGATTGGGTATTCTTTGTAAAGTGATTTGTCACGGCATTCACAAAGCTAATTGGCAATTCCTTCTTAAAGTGATGATTTCTACCCCGAAGGCGGCATCACTGTCCCTCATCCACCCTTGAATACTTCCTTCTCCCTCCCTCCTCCCCTAGTATTCCTTACTACGCCTGGACCCTGTGGCTGCTCTCGCATCTGCCCCCCTCCCCCCCGCATCCCTTCCGTTCTTACTCTGTTTTTTCTTGAATCGATATTCTTCTAGCTCTATGTTATAGTTGTATAAAATAATTTCTCCCTATGACAATTCCTAATTATCATAGGGAGAACAAGTCTATGCGAATGCAAAAACTAAGTCTATGCGAATGCAAAAACAAGTCTATGCGAATGCAAAAACAGCTTGAAACAGGTCAGGTGTCTCAAACTGATGTCCAAAACATGCTGCATTTGCCTATAGACACACACCCAAAGCTTGTCAAAACTAACCCCGACTGATATTAAACCCTTAGATGTCCTGTAGCCTTTGCACATCAGTTGATGGAAAATGTTGTTACCTATACCCCTCATATACAAAGTGTGAATGAAGCATGTACTGATTAAATGCACAGAGTGGAAGGAATGCAAAGTAATGTTATTCATTTTATTCTGTCATGTTTTCTTATACTGCAGCCTCGACAGATGACAGCGCGGAGGAGAAGTCGCACGGCGCGCTGCACACGGGATTAATTATAGGGATACTCGTCCTGGTCCTCGTTGTTGCTGCTGCCATCCTCGTAACAATTTACATGTACCACCACCCGACATCATCTGCTAGTCTCTTTTTTATTGAGGTAAGCCGCTTTCTTTTCATTTCACATTTTCACACTAGCACAATGATCTCATTTAAAGCACTGAGTATAAAGCACGGCCAACCTTCACTCCTCTCGAACCTAGTGAGTCTGTCACTACAATTTTACATGCTGAATGATGATTACAAAGGGCTCCAGTTATAAAAGCTATACGGCAGGCGGATGCCATTTACATGGCACTAGTAGTAGTGGCACTAATAGTAAACCTATACTCGTCAGCGCCATCTAGGGGCACTAGTGCCATGGAAAGAGCTGGTGGAACTGTTGTAAATGAAGCCCAAGGTGTCTAGTGCTTTGTTAGAATTGATGGAGGCTTGACATTTCCTGGCCCTAAAGAAAGTATACAACTTTCTTAGTATGCATACTAGGTCACCTTATTGAGCTGTGATTTTAGGAGGGTGGTTGCGCTACCGTACAGCAACTAATTAACGGAGTGGCCAAAATATCGGTTTTAAGGGCAGTGATTTTCTAATGGTAGGCCTGTGGGGATGAAATTATAGTAATATGGCCCCCCAAACAGGGCTGACGTAGGCACAGTACATGGGTAACACAATGAAAACTGTGGCAGCACACTGACAACTGTGACAATACATGAGTAACAATCCTGGGAACACACATTGGCAGTCAGAACAATACTCAAACAATGAAAAGGTGAACCTTGCAGTACACGGGCAGCAAATACCCTGTTTCCCCGAAAATAAGACCTACCCCGAAAATAAGACCTAGTACTATTTTTGGGAATTGCTAAAATATAAGACCTACCCCGCAAATAAGACCTAGTTGTGACCATTCCCAGGGCCGGTGGTGGCATAAGGGGGTACTTAAAGAGCCACTGGAGAGAATCAGCGGTGCCAATGAAGCCAGCACTAGAGGAAGCAAGGCGGCACCGGAGGGAGCAGAGCCGCATAAGCAGATGCTGCCTCTATAGCGCAGGCGTAGTGATACCAAATGCACTCCGCCTTTGAGGAATCGATAGTGAAAGTGCGCTTCGCTCATTCTGGTCAGCGATTGGTTAGCAAATTGCTCTTGGAAAGCTATGGCACCCCTGATCACCATATTTTTGTACATGAATATATGTAGACTGTTGTACAGGAATAAGTGTGGATTGTTGTATATTAAAATTAAAAACAAAATAAGACCTACCCCGAAAATAAGACCTAGAGGTGTTTTTTGAGCCAAAAAAAATATAAGACAGTGTCTTATTTTCGGGGAAACACGGTAGGCAATGGCTGCAATCCAAACCAAATAGGAAATGGTAACAGTACAACAAATGGGCAATGGTGGAACTGAGGTTATAAATTGGCAACCAGCAATACTTAAGCAAAATGTAGGAAAATTCACAAGATTGCTTGGAGTTTCCTATGCTCTTCGGCTCTATCTAGTGGTGACAATACCATGCAAACAGCATTCAGCCAGGTTCAGGGCGGATGATTTACAAATCATCCCCTAAATGTCATCTAGTTAGATTTTACAGCTACCTTTTTTAGGGTATCCATTTAAGAGGTAAAGTTAAGTGTTGAGGTTTTAGTAGGGAAGGGATTTGTGAAAAGCTAAAGCTTAATTTGCATATATTTTGCCTTCCCTGGTACCTCTTTTCCCCCCTTATCAACATGCTAATGGAATTTTAAAATCAAACCTTTGAGTTTTCATCGTATACCTTCTTTCATATCACTTGGTCTCTGTACTTCTCTGTGCAATGCAGGAAGATCATGCCTATTGGGAGGGGTCAACAGGGTGCTGTACATAGCTTCCTCAAAACATCACAGCACTCTGCTTCAGTACTCCTCCCAAGAGCCCTCAGCAAATGTTAAAATGCCTTGATGGATGGATGTCAGTCTGGAGGAGTGGACGTTCCTAGTCAGACTGCATTTGCATGCAAAACTGCCCTAGGTAATGCCCACATGTGGTGCTGAGCCTCTATGATTAAAAGAAACTGAAATCCAATGAATGAAAGGGCAGGGCCAAGGACAGTCAGGCTGGGGAAGAAAGGGGGACAGCCAAGGACAGTCAGGCTGGGGTAGAAAGGGGGGCAGGCCAAGAACAGTCAGGCTGGGGTAGAAAGGTGGACCTGCCAGGGACAGTCAGGCTGGGGAGGAAATAGGCCAGGGACATTCAGCCTGGGGAGGAAAGGGGGAAAGGCCAGGGACAGTCAGCCTGCAGAGGAAAGAGGGAAAGGCCAGGGACAGTCAGCCTGGGGAGGAAAGGGGGACAGGCCAGGACTGTGACAGGCCAGGGACAGTCATCCTGGGGAGGAAAGGGAAACAGGCCAGGGACAAGTCAGGCTGGGGAGGAAAGGGGGACAGGCCAGGGACAGTCAGCCTGGAGAGGAAAGGAGGACAGGCCAGGGACAGTCAGCCTGCAGAGGAAAGGGGCACAGGCCAGGGACAGTCATCCTGCGGAGGAAAGAGAAACTGGCCAGGGACAGTCATCCTGGGGAGGAAAGGGAAACAGGCCAGGGACAGTCAGCCTGGAGAGGAAAGGAGGACAGGCCAGGGACAGTCAGCCTGCGGAGGAAAGGGGGACAGGCCACGGACAGTCAGCCTGGAGAGGAAAGGAGGACAGGCCAGGGACAGTCAGCCTGGGGAGGAAAGTGGGACAGGCCAGGGACAGTCAGCCTGGGGAGGAAGGGGGGACAGGCCAGGGACAGTCAGCCTAGGGAGGAAAGGGGTACAGGCCAGGGACAGTCATCCTGCGGAGGAAAGGGAAACAGGCCAGGGACAGTCATCCTGGGGAGGAAAGGGAAACAGGCCAGGGACAGTCAGCCTGGAGAGGAAAGGAGGACAGGCCAGGGACAGTCAGCCTGGGGAGGAAAGGGGGACAGGCCAGGGACAGTCATCCTGGGGAGGAAAGGGAAACAGGCCAGGGACAAGTCAGGCTGGGGAGGAAAGGGGGACAGGCCAAGGACAGTCAGGTTGGGGTAGAAAGGGGGACAGTCCAGGGTCAGTCAGGCTGGTGAGGAAAGGGAGACAGGCCAGGGACAGTCAGGCTGGGGAGGAAAGGGAGACAGGCCAGAGACAGTCAGGCTGGGGATGAAAGGAGACAGGACAGGGACAGTCAGGTGGGAGGAAGAGGGGATAGAGGGATTTGATTCCAAAAGAGGGACAGTCCCTTCAAATGAAGGACAGTTGGGAGATATGAGACTGTCCTAGATAATGCCCACATGTGATGCTGAGCCTCCTTACATAAAAGAATTGAAATCCAGTTAATGAAAGGGGCGGGCTAGGGACAGTCAGGCTGGGTAGGAAAGGATAGATGATGTTGGACGTCCTCGAGCCAGGTAAACAAATTCAGTCCAGGTGAACAATCTGTACAACTGTACTAGACTGAAGATAAGGCTGGGGTTCAGCTTTAACAGTAGTAGGTTCTGTTTAACAGTTCAGAATAAGTGAGAGCTTTGGGACACACAGAAGTCCATTTTACTGTTTCCTGTTTTCTGTGCGAGGGATTTCCTCTCCTAATATGAACCCAGCGTCTCAAACAACAAACTGTATACGGAAAAGCCGTAATCCCCTCAGCCGAGGCCAGTTTGCTTGATCTCAGATGTTGCCGGATTGTTGCGTTCTCTGCCTCGCCAGCAATTTCCTAATACCATGAACATTTATTCCTGTGTAGTCTTCTCCACTGACGTGCTGTACGGAGACATGTTTCTTTCATGAACATCAAATCAGTCTTTTGTCGGATAAAGGGGCTTCCCTCTGCCTTCACAATCACTTATTAAGTATCTGTCAAGTCTCAGTGAGAATGACAACCTTGGGCAGAATGTTGATCGCACGTTACTCCAGAGACCCAGCAACAGAGCTCTGTATAGAAGACCATCTCCAGCTTTACTCTATAGTTAGTTTTATAAATGAACAAAAGAGAAACGCGTCGCAGTGTGTGTGTGAAGTGGAAATGGGCTTTTAATGGGCAGGAAATATTAAACAATAAAGTGATATATAAAAAAAACTAACTTTCACAAATATGTATGGTAAAGTACTCACTTCCCAAGAGGAAAGAAGATTTATGCAATGTCTGTGATAAGTGTTTCTCACTTAGTTAAAGGTAAAGTCCACCTTTTAGAAAAAAAATAACAAATGCACACTTATTTATCAAAGAAAAAAATGTGCATTTATTCCTTTTTTGCATTAGAGCCATTAAAGCATTGCAACCATGATTAATAGATCATGGGTACAATGCTCTGGCTCCTGCAGATTCTCCCTCCCATCCTTTGTTCAGACATTCAGTAATATGGATGGGAGGAAGAATGAATGGACTGCAAGTGCAGTGACATCACCACACTTGCCTTCCATCCTGAGAACTACAAGTGCCTCTGCCGCAATGGCTGATGGGACTTGCAGTTTCTTCAGTAACAGATCCTGTCAACGAATCTGTGAATGTATGGCATGGCTGTGTGAGTGGAGGCAAGCTCCGCCATGCTGAATTCAAAAAACATCAGCCTGTGGGGAACTATAAAACTATATACACTTCCAACAGATTATATAGTTTCCTTTTCTTGTGCTGATTGAACTGTCATTTACAACATCAAAGTCCAGGCGTTTAAAGCCCAATTTGACTTTCAGTTTAAATTAGTGAAATCCATACCAGGTGCATCAAATCAAAAGGTGTGCAAAGTCTTATAGTTTATTTTGTTTAGAAAAGCCTCTTCCCTGCCATCATGTTGCAGAGAAGGAGAAGGACCCTTATTCTCTGTCTGGAAGCAGTGGATTCTCTGTAGAGATCCTTCACATCCCCTGCTGAGTAAAAACTATAGCTCTTCAAACAGCAAAGCTCATGCTTGCTGCCGATTGGAGAGCTCTAGTTCTGATTGAGCAGGGGAAGTGTTGAACCTTTGCAGGGAGACCACCCCTTCCATACAGAGAATAACACACAGCAGGCCGACAGGGGACAGACTTTTCTAAACTTTGTATAATAAACCTTTTAATGCGCCTGGAATATATTTCAATGATTTAAAAAAAAAAATGTAGTTGGATTATAATTTAGATAGCTCCGGAGAGCACTAAGCCATTTACAAGCCCTGTTTTCAAATGAACTTACAACGTAGGATTCCTAGCACGGTCTTATAGACACACAAGGGCTAGTTTGCATGAAGCCATTATGTTTTTAGAATGTCAGAAGATACCAGAGCACCAGCACCCCAACACTGGAAGATCATTCAAATTAATTTACAATTCTGTGATAGTTCCTCAGTACAGTGACATAACTATAGCCATAGCCCAGGCGGTTGCTATGGTGCCTGGGGGTGGAAGGGGGCCCCATTAAGTTGTTGAGACAAATTAAATATAGAGCATGTGAAGATAATGCAGTACTATATCGTTAAGGGTCGGTGTGGTTGATGACAACCCTAATCCTCTGTAAAGTCTACAGTGTAGGAAAGCTGATGTCAGATACACAACAGGAGTTTGGGATATTTGTGTCGTTACTCACAGCTCAGAGAGAGATCGTCAAGGTGGTCCCCCATCACATTTTTGCTATGGGGCCCTGTGATCTTTAATTATGCCCCTGCCTCAGTATATCAATATTTTACAGCAGGTGCTCTCCAGGGCTCACAGGATCTGCAGTTGCAGTATGTCAGGGGTAGGCAAGCTTGGTACTCCAGCTCTTGTTGACCTACAAGTCCCATGAGGCATTGCAAGACTCTGATAATTTCTGCCATGACTCATAAGTGATATTTAGCTACATTTAAAATGTAAAAAATGTTCGTTTTCAGGCCACATTATATCTAATTGTTAGTTTCATCCCGGAGTGGAGTGGGTGGAGGTTAGTCAACCCAGCAATGGATTTTTACATAACCAATATAGGGTGGCAGGGCTGTGTAGGGTGGATTTATCCAAACACACATCATATTACAGTCAGTTAAACTTTCCTATTTATTAAATAAAGTTCCAGACCTCCATCCTGCCTGTGCCATCTGACTAATTGTTGCTTTCATTACATTTTTGCCAGTGGAGTAATTCACTGTATAACATTGTCTACATTTCCACCATGCTGGGTTCATCACATGAAACTGAACGGCAAAGAAGGGTATCGGTGTGCCTTTCTCTTCTAGCCACTGGTTCTAGTAATGCTGACACATAGAGGTTGATATATTAAAGGCAAATAGGCTGTTCATTTTGCAGGGGAATTTTCATTTTGGAATCCAATTTTCCCTTAGCTTAGTGAAAGTGGTGCAAATTCACTTTGCAAGGAATACCCAATCATGTGCAAAGAAAGTAAAAAAAGAAACAGTATTTTTGCTTTCACATAACTGGATGATGTAAGTCAGCAGAACTTCACATCATTCACTACGCTAAGGGAAAATTCCCATGCAAAGTGAACAGTCCATTTGCCTTTGGTAAATCAACCCCAAAGTGCCTTTATCTTGTAGTGGCTGATTCTAGTAGTACTGATACAGAGGTGTTGATTTACTAGAGGTAAATAGGGTGTTCATTTTGCAAGGAAATCTTCACTTAGCTTAGTGAATGTGGTTGCAATGAATACACGATCATGTGCAGGGAAAGTAAGAAAACCAGATTTTTTTTTGCTTGCACATGATTGGATGATGGAAGTCAGGGGAACTTCTTCTTATTCTATAAGCTAAGGGTAAATAACTGTGCAGAGTGAACAGACTATTTGCCTTTAGTAAATCAACCCCAATGTGACCAAACTGTCTCTTTCAGCCTCTCTTCTGCCATTTTCAGCATATTTTGTGTGGATGTGACCTTTGATTTTTTTTGTGATATGAGGCTAGCCTGTTATTTGGGGTAGGAGGGAAGCAGCAAGAGACAGTTGGCCACAGAGGACAGGAGTTATGACTCTAACCTTGAACATGAGACCTATCAAAGTTCCCATTTAAAAGATGTGTTGTTGTATTTTCACAGAGACGTCCCAGCCGCTGGCCAGCTATGAAGTTCCGGAGAGGATCCGGACACCCCGCTTATGCTGAAGTAGAACCCGTCGGCGAAAAAGAAGGCTTCATTGTATCAGAGCAATGCTGAGTCCTTTTATTGTGGAACATTTGCATCAGTACTGGTTTCTGGTGTCAGACCCGTGAATTTTACATATATTTTCCAGGAAAACAAAAGTGCTGTGAGCTACCTATCCGGAGACAGAAAGAGAGCTTCTCATGGTCAACGATCACGAAGAAAGATTTCTTCACTCTGAAATTAAAACGACACTCACGGTCATCTTCCTATGGTGGAAAAACGTAGTACATGGTATTACGTAGTACGTCAGGCATTGTAGCTGGACAACAGTAGTGAATGGACAAGGACTCTTCTACTGGCTACTGAAGAGACTCGATACAAACCAGGGCACTAACAGGAGGTCTCCATACTGTTCCGATGGCTTTTGTACAGCTCACGTGGACGAATGCTAGTGCGGTGTAACAATTGGAAATGAACAGATGAAAGCCACATGATCATCCTGAGGAGAAAGGAAAAAGTGTGGCTCTGGATTTGTGATTTAAAAAAAAAATTTCTATAAAGGGTGCACATAGGCATCAATGACCCATATACAAAATAATAAATGGCTCTTTGCTGTCTACTAAGTATTGTGCTTTTCCTGCATATTACAAATGTGGCCAAAGTGATATCTCTTTTTTTTTTTTGTCTAAAAAGAATCTCTAGTGGTCATCAAGATTGTAGTCATATATGTTTGTGGTTGAATGTGGGATGACCATTGACAGGTAATGTTTTCAGTAATTCGAAGAAAAAGAGAAGCAAGAAGTCAGCTGTGTGGTGTTGGTGTAATGATGCTATCCATGGTCCTGAAGAAGGTTTCAAGGGGGCTGTATGTTCCTGTCCTGTGTATTAAGTATACCTAGGATGAATAAAGCAATATATTTGATAAAGAATTACAAATTTGATACTTTTTCTGCGAATGGGAGTTTTCTGAACTGTAATACATCATCATCATCAATACGTCCAGGTTTTCTTGTTACATTAAAAAGAGCATTGAGAGAAAAAAATGTACTCTTCCCAATAGTTTGAGCTGGCATGTGAAAGCTGAGTGATCACAAACCGCTGTCAGCCACCATTCCCCACAGGGATTCCCCCTCCCCTCTCTGTTTCTCCAGCGCTTAGTGGAGGGACAGACAGGGGAGGGGGTGGGCACAGCTGGCTCAGGCTCTAGAGAGGCAGAGCCAGCTGTCAATCAAGCGGTGGGGTGGATCCCAACGGCTTTGCTCTGTCAGTAAATAGCGGGCAGTAGTCTGCTAGATGCTGACTTTGGGCCACAAGAGCACATTAGTAATGTAATCCTGTGACCCAAAAGAGAACTAAAGACAAAAAAAATGTTTGGCTATAGTTCTCTTTAAAGCATATGTCAAGGCAAAATAAAAAGAATCAAATGTTATACATCTCTGCAGTCCTTAAAGACCATGTCAATACAGAAAAATACCTGTTGATCTTCCAGAAATGCACTCAGTTCATAATTTCATATTGTGATAGTTTTTTTATGGACTGAGTGGTGTTTGCTAAACTACACAACAACTTCCACTATTTCCTTCTCTAAAGCATAAGCATTATTTGAATTTTAATCCTTTTGTATAATTAACAGACTTAAAGAGAGTACATAAAAGATGTTCATTGTTTGGGTTTACATACACTTTAAAGATTTCCCTTCTCTCCCTGGCTGCTCCATTTGCTGCCAGGAGCAGAAGTTCTGCGTAAGCTTAAAGTCAATCCTCGGTGAATATTAGCACTCTCTCTCTGCCCCATTTGACAAAACCGGTGCCAGAACAGCCAATCACCAAGCACCTGTGCCTCTATGTGGGATGGAAGTGATTGAGTCATATGGGCGGGGCTAAGTGCTTGGCAGTATTTAAAGGGAACAGGCGGCACAACTTCGCCTAGAGTACAATCATTTGTTTTCACAGATGTTGCTTAGCTGCCGTAACACACAACAGCCCATGTACATTACACTGGCGAGTTCAATATCTTGCTTCCATTATGGCATCTTATAACTTGTTTACTTTCTGGATCAGAAAAAAAAAAAACATTTTGAATGTGTCTAATGCATTTAATTAGTCAAAGTGAGGCTTGTAGCTGGCTGTATATAAATTAACATCCCTTGAAAGCAGCACATCATTTCATTTCTAGGATGGTGCCATGCTGTGACGGTAATGCAGATCCATGACCAATGCCGGAGGGAAGGCAGCATCTGTCTTACTCTGGCTGGTTCTTTTTTCAGGAAGATGGATTTGTTTTGGAAATGCGAGAAATTGACGGGTCACCTCTGCAGAAGTACTTCGCTGTGTTTAGAGGATGCTGAACATTTTGTTGTGTAAGCAAACTCACCAAATGGGCCCAATAACCCTTGAAGAAACTCTCTGCAACCGCAAGGAGTAAAATTGCCTTAGGAAAGCCCTCCGGTAATAATTAAGTAGATGGTGTCTAACCTGTAGGTTTAGCTGACGGTATATTAGCTTTCGTTGCAAAAACGAGACACTGCTTGTGCTGAGAACAACAGACAATAACAAGTTTCCCAAGTGCCATGACTCTTACCATGGCCCGTAGGATGACCCTAAAACATTACTTTTCCTTACCCGAGCCATACAACCGAATGCAAACCTTAAAGTGTATTTCCAATTTTGCAGTCAAATTTAAAGTGACATTAAAGGATAACCCCCCCTCCCAATGCTAGTGCAAGAACATATCTTAAATTATGCCTCTTGATCGGGATCTTCTTCTTCTTTCCAGTAGTTTTCAGCTGTCCCTCCAGCGCTGACTCCTCTGTCTTAACTGGCACTTCCTGTCCCGCGGGTGCACGCTGCTCCATATACTTACCTTGTGTCTCTCCCGGCCGAAGACCTGAACTGCGCATGCGCCCACCCCAAAATACTTTGCAGCCGCCCAGAATCTTCAGATGTTCGGACAGGAGCACATGGCGGAGACACAGGTAAGTTTATAAGTATATATCTACTGCCAGATGTTGGATCGGCTGAGTCGGAGTCCTACTGCACCGAAGTGCAGCCGAAGGTAGCTGATGTACGGCTGATTCCCCCTAGACATAAACGAGCAGTTGACTCTTCCACTGTGGGGGTAGCCCCACTGCAAGGAGAGGTTTTTTTTTCCCTGGAGATAGGATTTACCACCTGTACTGAGTTTTGTAGCTTTTACACGTGTTAGCAAAACTGTAAAAATCTTTGCAGCTAATTAGTGTATCACATGAATTCTACCTTGTTTTGTTCAAGACAAATTGGGCCCTTATCAAAGGAAAACTGTCCCAAAGTAGTAAAACAAATATATATTTTTTTACATTAGGAGGGGACATGATTTTAATGTACAAAATGTTTGGAGTGATGGCAAAATCAGCAACAAACGTTTTACTCTAAACTCTCTAGCAAAGAGTAGAGGCCACCACCTAAAATTGGTCGAGAACAGATGTAACCACAAGGGGCGTAGGAGCTTCTCTGCCACAAACAGTGGTATCAGAGAGTATTGAATCATTCCAAAATCAGTTCGATACCTTCCTCAGAGACCGTAACATACAGGGATACATGTACTCCTAAAACCTAAGACGACACAGGGACTCATATAAACACATGCACACACTACACACACACTTACACATATAGGTTGAACTCGATGGACCTGTGTCTTTGTTCAACCTCAAATACTATGTAACTATGTAACATTTTAGCTGTACATGTCTTGCCATTACCATGACCGACCACCAAAAAAATAATTCATTCTCCTACTCCTGATGAGACACAATGTCACAATTCAAGAGGCTGCAGAAGGATATGAGTATATAAATGTAAACAATGATACTGCAGAGATAGAGATGGTTACAGTTATATGTTCATTCTCTCCAGGATTCTCTTGAATTGTAGTTCCTTACTATTTTTATTTCCTATGATCTTCAGCTCCATCTAGTGGCCATAATGCGTAATTTTCCCTATTCACTCTGTTGTGTACGAATTACCCTATTCAAGTACATTCGATCAGAATAGAAACTACAGAAACTTCTACTTCTACAGAAACATTCGTTTTTGCCAACACCTCAATGCTCACTGTATGCACGCCTGGAGGTGTATTTGGGTGCCATTGAGAATGAATTATGTCATCAACTGCATGTTTGTTCCTGGCCAGGTGCTTGCTAAGTATGGAGGCCATAGTATAAGCATAACAGCCAAGGAACAAGCCACAACAAGTCAATGATGGCAGCTTCCATATGAATATCATGACAGGTTCACTTTAAACCTGCCAAGCAAACAGGGGAAATCCTATCTCCCGAAGATTACCTAGGAAACGTGTGCACAGAGAACTAGGGGGGCAGAAAATTCTGGCCTCCTTCTAAAAATGCTCTTTGTTTGGCACTGAAGCGAATCCTTTGGCCACAGTGCTTTCCGAGTCACCAACCTGGAACAATAAAGGCCGTGACACACTGCACGAGAAGCCGTGCAGAGCGAAGCAAAGCTCTCCGGCACGGAGCTTCACGTGCAGTGTGTGAGCTGAGTGCAGTCAGATGATTGACTGCGCCTTCAGCCAATCGGCTCGTCTGTAACAACCGGCCAGACGTCGCATCCCGTCGCGCCGGTTTATACGCGCGAGCCGATTGGCTGAAGTTGAAATTGTTCATCTCGGCACGCTCAGCTCTGCGAGCTCTCGCAAGCTGAGGTGCCGAGAAGAAAATGACATGACACACTGCTCGCAAAGGCAGCGCGCCACCGCTCCGCGCTGCTTCGCCTGCAGTGTGTCACGGCCTTAATGCAGCAAGTGAAGACTGAACTCCTGATATGTGTTCTTGTTCCAAGTCATTGTATTCAGAGGAGTATCATGACCTTCAGGCAAGGAACAGTTTTGGAAGGAGGAGTTGAAAATGGTAACCTGGATTTCTCAGTCTTGGTTTCAGTTTTTCAGTCACATACAGCTGTCATGTACCAGGTAAGCCACAAAATCCCTATGACTACAGAGGACCAGTATTCTCTTTCCCACAGTTGCCAGCTTTCAATTCTTGCCAAAATTGTAATAATATAATCAGTAACAGTGTAACAACACACATAGCACTTCAGTGACGAATGGCTGTTGGCAATTTGATTAAGAGGCTTGTTTTTCCAGCAGAAGTATGTCATGTACAGCACAGCTTACAGAGTGGGGGGTTCAAGAGTATTTAGCATGTAGGTGCTTTGTTGTTGGTATCGGTGTAAGTAACAAATATGC